GAAGCGTGATACGAGTGATAGAAAGCCTCAAGAACACCTCCTAAACCCAAAACTCTTGATTTTTCTAAATATCCTCTTTGGATCTTCGATGAAATCCTTCGTTTTTGGTACATAGGCATAGCCCTTGTTGAGGTGATCGACTTTAACTCTTGGTCCGAAGAATTCCGACCAGCGGAACTTCGTAGATCATAGAAAGAAGTCCTGATTTTCTCTTTTTCTTTTCTTCCTTCACTCTCTTCCTCTTCTATCATGATAATCAGCTGATCAAGTGGGGAAGATTAGATATTTTTCCCTATTTATACCCTTTAGTTGTGCGGTCCACGTCGCGCCTCACGTTTCTTATTTTCGGGTTCATTTTTGTCCCAAAACGACTTAATTTCATCTCGTTTTAAGTTTAATTTATTTTTATTTAAACTTTTCTTCAATTATAAGAAAATTTTATTAAATTTATTTGTAAAAATCTGGGTAAATTTAAATTTTTTTGAAAAAATGGCAAAATGATAATTTACCACTATAATGCGGGTTTAAAATTAGTATTTTCCTAGAGCTCAGATGACGCACGAACCTTACCGTTGGAATCGTATCACGAAATTGAGTTATCATGTCAATTCTGAGATAGTCAGATTTTGCACATTTTATGAGACAATTAGGTGACGAATGACATCACAAAAGTCCCCAAAAATAGAATTTATAAAATTTCCTTATAATTAGATAAAAGTTCAAATAAAATTAATTTGAACTGAAATCGAAAATTAATTAAGTCATTTTTGGTTAAAAAATGGACCCGGAGAGAGGAAAGAGAGAGAAGAGAGAAAACCTAGAAATTCTACCTTTCTTCTTGCGATCCAAGGTGTTCTGTCGGTCAAAATTCATTGAACTAATAATTAAAGTTGGTCTACGCGACGAAGGCTACGCGTACGTACCAAGAACGAAAGAATTTACCGAAGATCCAAGGAGGAGATTTTGTGAAATCAAGAGTTTTGGGACTTGGAAATGTTCTTGAGGTTCCCCACACTTCATCTCACGCTCCAAGAGGTAGGGTTTCCTCCTACTTTGAAATATTTCTATCCAATGATGTTCATATGGAAGGAGGTGGGTATGTAGAATATGTATACCACTTGTTTATTGTTATGAAAATGAGGGAAAGGGTGTAGAAATGGCTTAGGCTAACTTTTAGCTTGGATTTGATATGCGGGAGTCACTTGTGTAATCCCTTGAAATTGGTTTATGTGGGCATGTTACATATTTATATTATGCCTTGTGATTAAGTGTGATTGGCATGAGATTGTGTAATGTCATACTTGAGATTTGTGTTGGATATAAATGTTGATATATGTTAGTTGATATATTGACATGATAATGAATTTTGGTGATTATATACATGTGATATAAATTGTCATGGAACATGTGGACATGTGGTTAAATTGCTCATTAGCATTCCTTGCGTATTGGACATGACATCGACATTACAATGGTGCATTGTATTACATATTGCATGAGAAAAATACATCAATGGCCATGAGTATGGGTGCGTGTGTGTGCATGGTTGGATCAATCATCATATTTGGTGATTGGTGATGGGCTCGAAAAAAGTTGGAATGAAAATCNAAAAAATGGCAAAATGATAATTTACCACTATAATGCGGGTTTAAAATTAGTATTTTCCTAGAGCTCAGATGACGCACGAACCTTACCGTTGGAATCGTATCACGAAATTGAGTTATCATGTCAATTCTGAGATAGTCAGATTTTGCACATTTTATGAGACAATTAGGTGACGAATGACATCACAAAANAAACTTGTGTCGGGTATAGCAAGAAGGGCTAGACACTCCATCGGGTGAAAGACCCCGCTACTTGGTTCATATACTCCTTTGAGGTAAAATTCCGGAAAAGTGTAATAGCGTACGGAGTCAGTGGTGTGATTCCAAAATCCGATACCCAACAAAGACACATGGTTTTGTTATATAAATGTTCATTTGATGGAAGACATCCAACAATGAAATAGTTTTCAAAACACATGAATTATATTTCAAAAGATCATTGGATGTGTTTCACCGATGACTGATTTATGACACACGTGCATCGCATTGTGTTGTGGGAGTCAGTGTGAACTCAGGTTAAGGTGCATGAGTGAGTCTCATCTCATTTCATGGCATGGCATTATGATTTTTCAACATTGAATTACATGATCTTGTTGGAATGGGAAATGAAGGGTAAGTGTTGCACATAAACATTGCATATGCATCTAATGAGGGAGTAACCTCTGTAGGAAATATTTTACTGGGCATTGTTGGCTCACCTTATATGAGAACACATTTCAGGTGCGAGGTTTACACTGGCGGAGGACTCTCATTCGGGGCCTCAAAAATGAAGAAAAGTCGACTTGTGACTTTTGTAATACATTTTGTATAAACTTTGTAAAATTACGGTGTTGAATATGAAATCGTGTGAATGGATTGTAATAGAACTTGTAGATATAAAGTTTTATGTGATAAACATCATTAGACATGTTTTGGATGGTGTTGGGATGATTTGAAATGGAAAAATAGTGGACTGTACCGGTACTTTCTGTCTTCCAAATTTTTTTTCAAAGTTTTGGAAAGAGTACCGGTATTGTCTGCTTGCTGGACCAAACAGTACCGGTACTCTCTCTAAAATTTTGAAATTTTAAAACTAAAGTGTTGTGCTCTCGGTCTTTGATTCCTTTGGTTCCAAAGATGTAATTGGACAATAGAGAGGCATGAATTGTGGTGCCTTGAGCCACGGTTAAATTAAATGATTAAAGGAACACATACGTGTGAGTTAAAATTCTGGGTAATGGAATCATGTTAGCGTGATGTCAGATCAAGCGGCACTCACGGGCATTTCTGCGGGTTGACGGGGTTGTCAACGGGACCCCCCGTTTATGGGGTGTCACATTATTTTTTGGGGGCGTTTGTGAGGTCATCCGACATCCAGTTGTCTCGTAAAACGTAAAAAAATTTGACTATCTCGAAATTAGATAAAAATTGACAGAGTAACTATATTTCGCAAGACGAATCCAACGGTGAGGTCCATTTCGTCAGCTAAGATCTAGAAAAAATAAGTATTTTAATTTCGCATTATAATGACAAATTATCATTTTACCCTTTTTCAGAAAAAAGTCAAATTTACCCGAATTTTACACGTACTCTTTCTAAGAGTTTTTTCCCCTTGGGATAATAGGAACAAGATCGTAGTGATGATATGTACAAAACGTAAGTTCAAAGTCTGGCGACCACATACTCCACTATAGCAACAGACTAAATCCTAGCATGTATGCATCTTCGCGTAGAACAATGGAATCATCTTCCGATGAATTGTCTCTTCAAGCTCCATCAAAGGTTTCACTCTGGCAACAATAATGCATTGAACCTAAGTCTCCTAAGTCTCTCGGTTAAATGTCATGTCATTTTGATTCATGTTATTTTTTATTAATGTTATTTTTATTTCATATCATGTTTGTGTTCAATGCAACATTTAAAATCCGTGAAGTATCTGTTCCAACTAAAATTCATCAAATAGGTCCCCAAAAAATAAAAAACCTACTTGATCCACATCGTAGTAAAATCAAATACAAACATCTTACTTCTACAAAAATTCATACAATACTAAATCAAGAAATTAGAAAATACAAAAACAATAATAAATTCTCTTCATATAATACAAATTATATTCAACAAGTTAGTACCAACGCAAATTTGATTGATTTGTAAATAAACGCAAATAGAAGAAATGGCCGTATTCACTCTTCTTTGGGGTGACACTCAGCTTCCCAAAAGAATTGAAGACTTCAATAAGCTTTGATATGGTGGCCGTTCCCCCTTTTTTCAAATAAGAGGTGGAAAGCCCCATATAGATTATATAGTATTTAAAGTTTACCCCCAAAAATGTCGAAGATAAGCTAGCCTCCTAAAACAGAATAGATAAACAGCTTAATGTATTGGCATTCAAATCACATAAAGTAAACCCAAAGCGAACTGTCAATTATCCGAGGGCAGTAATATCAAATGAGTAATGCTAGATTAACTTAATTACCAAGAAAAAAAATGCTAGAGTTATAAAAAACAGAGACCAAATGATAAAACATTACCAGAATGACATTTTTAGTCTCACTTTTATACATTTGAAATTCAATTTTTTTTTTTTTATTATGATAATGTCACATCATTTACTCCCTATTTTTAATCTTTTTTTTTTTTATCAGTCTAGTATTGCTCATACCAAATTATCAATAGGCAACTACATAAGGGCAAGGTAGAACCTAACAAGGAACACGGCCCATAAGCTCCACAACCCAAGCATTTTGGAACTAGAAAATGCAAGGCCTATAAACTCAACAACCCAAGCACAAAGATGCCAATGAGAGAGAGAGAGAGAGAGAGAAAGAGAAAGAGAGAGCAAAGAGTGAAAATGCCTCAAAATCACATTATAACCTAAAATTAGCGGCCAAAATATGAGAAAACTAACCACAAAATTGAATTACAATTGAAGTATTTACTAAAGACATAAAATTACAACCACAATCACCAATAAACTTTAGACCGTTTATAGCACTTATTTGCAAATACAGAGCACACCATATTATGATACTCCTAAGAAAAGGTGAAAAAATGGTTGAAGACACTAAATCAACACTAAAGAATGACAGTTTGCTACTCTTAATTGAACAAAGACATTTCACATTTGGGTGCAATGATAAGTATAAATAAGCAAGTAAACGGTGATATCAAATCAAAGGAGCCACTTGAAACAAAGCTTTGNTCACATTTGGGTGCAATGATAAGTATAAATAAGCAAGTAAACGGTGATATCAAATCCAAGGAGCCACTTGAAACAAAGCTGAGATTAATTGTAGTCAAAGCTCAGTCATTTCCTTAAACAGAACCCATCACCAGCATAAGGACTGACGTTATATTTCATTTTACTATGTTATTCTTGGGTGGGGTTTTTTATTGTGAGATAGAGAGAGGCCTATACAACTCAAAAAAAAATCACACTTTTATTGTCAAAAGAAATAATGGCTGTGCTGGTTTTTACACTGCTGTACACAATTCCCATCTGTCGTACAGGACAACCTAAATCTCTGCATTTGCAAACCTCCTAATCGCTCTGTTGAAACTAATGACTTAAAAAAGAACATAAATAAGAAAAACAAAAATGCAAGCCCACAACAAACCTGTGATAAAAAAGAATACCAAGCGACCAACTGAAAAAAGAAAAATAAAAACAACGCTACATGTTCAAACCACGAGATGGTAGTGGAAATCGGAATTGGCTCCAGTTCTTCCCACCAATCATTAAAACAATTTTCCTTTGGAAGCAAAAGCACCTAAAAATGCACTGATGCTGTCCTCCATACTATCGAAAAAGAGTCCCTCACTGCACAACATAGAAAGCAGCAGTTAGTGAATCATTGATTCCAAATGAAGCAACTGCAATATACAATATTATATTTGTTATCATTATTCTTACTGTGACAATTATTGTTATTATGAAAGTAGCTATGGAGAAGATCATGAGGAAAAAATCATACGAACTTCCAAGCATGCTTTCCTTTATCTGCAATTCTAAGCAGCAGGAAGATGTAATAAACCAGATGTGAACAGGTACTCAGAACAATTGAAGGGCCATCTTCAGCTTATTCTGTTTCCATTTAGGCAACTTATAGAAAGCATCCTTTGTCATTCCGAATTTCTCCCTGAACTCTTGTGAAGATAGATAAGTCTGCACACGATTTTTTTTCTAGATCTCAGTATCCACACGAAAGGATAAACAATAATAATGCCTTCTGGGAAACATACCTCTCGCTTGGTCACATCAATTTCAGTAATAGGGTCCATTGATGATATTTTAATGCGTTCGTATGGGTATATTGGCAGCCCCTCCTCATCTTCAGCTTCACCCTCTTTCACATCTTCCTGTATTGTTAGTGCTTCAATTCTGGTGCTCATAGAGTTCTCTTTGGAATTTGTTTCGGGTTTTGGTTTGGATGCCTCAGGGCTCACTTCACCCATGATGAAACAGTACTTCAAATTTCAATTGGCAAAATAACTAATCTGCTGCTTTAAAAATTAAAGCAACCATACCTTTAAGAGAACGGGGTATAATAGTTTGTCGTGCCGGAGCTGGTTGTTCAAAAGTGGAGCTTAGTGCTGCTATAGCTGAGGATCTGGAAGCCAGTTTTGCTGAATCTGGGGTCACAGATTTTGGATAGGGCTTTCTTACAACTGGAGGAGGAGTTGAAAGATTCCTTGCATTTGGGTTCTCAAAAGTAGCGGCTAGTGCATTAAAGGCAGGAGACCTTCCTCTCACACGGACTCTATCAGGACTGAAAGACATGCTTCTAGAACGCTGTGATTTTTCTGGCACAGCAGACCTTCCTCCATATGATACAGGGGTCCTCCTTTTGGGTTTCTAATCATGCAACACTTATCTCATCAGAAAATAACATAAACTACAGAAAATAACATAAACTAAGCATATCTATAGCAAGAGAAAAGCCCAGGAAATGCATGTGTAGAGTCAAATGGTGGAAAGTTATTTATAGCATTTACTCCTGCAGGACACCATTTCAAGGAGGACCTACTGTGAAATGCAAGTAAAACTTGTAATAACTGTTTTATGATATGAACTTTTTTGCTGCAGTCATCTGTCAAATATTTTTAATTTTGTGTTATGCTGCACAGTAGTGCCTGTTAGGGCTCTTATGAGTTCTACTCCATTTATTCCATATCCGCCACATTTTTGATTGAATAACCACCACATTTACTTTTCCTTTGTAATGCAAGGTATACTTGCAACCTTGGAAAGTATAGTCTTTCAATATTCACTTCCCTGTTTGCTGTAGTTTTATATTTCTTTTCCACATTAAACAGTTTGCTTTAGAGTTTATAGACATCATTGTATCATATCAAAAAATTTGAAGGGATTGCTCCAGTTTGCAATGAAAAGCTACAGCAGGAGTAAAACATCTATTATTTCTAATTTTTTTATGCTGTGGAGGTTAACAGTGGGTTGGGTGGTAGTTCCTTCTTTGGGCAGTGTGTTGTCTACATATCCACCCATTTGTATATAATAAAAGTGTACATATATTTATATATAGATATATACATGTGAGGGTAAATTGGTAAATTAGTAATCAAAGAAGACTCAAAAATTGTATGTACGAATTGGATAAAATCAGAACCTGATTATGGGTAAAAGTTGAATATATTTAACAGAACTCAATATGATACAATCCAACAGATTAATTATGGTCCGATCAATTTAAAAAATTGTGTAACATGTTTTGAAGTTAAATCAATCAATTTTTTACTATGTCATATCGGGTTAATTTGTGATGCAAGAATGTAATAACAAAATTAAGTGTTGAGTTCGTATCATCTTATCATATCGTGCCAATAATTACTACTTTTATATATTAGACGGTTTTTTAGTATCTTTCTCACTAAATAATTTCAATAAATTTCTCAAAAATACAAACATTATATTTAAAAATACATTTTATTAGTGAGGGTATAGTGGTAAATTAATTTTGTAAATGTTTTCTTTCCTTTCATTTTTCCTTCAATACCAAATAATGAAAAATTAATCCATCAAACTTTTCATTCATTGTACCAAACAAAAAAGAGAAAATGATTTTCCTTCCTCTGANATAATGAAAAATTAATCCATCAAACTTTTCATTCATTGTACCAAACAAAAAAGAGAGAAAATGATTTTCCTTCCTCTAANCTTCAATACCAAATAATGAAAAATTAATCCATCAAACTTTTCATTCATTGTACCAAACAAAAAAGAGAAAATGATTTTCCTTCCTCTGAGGATGGAAAATCTATCCCTTATACTCTTCCATCCTTCCTATTTTTCATCCGTCCTACCAAACGGACCACTAGGCCATGTGATAGAGGAATTGATTCTGCCACTCCCACAAGTCGCGGCTTTTGGGTCAAGAGGTGGGTCTTCCTTCTTCTCCTAACCACCCACAAATACTTGTGTACATATTCCTTTTATGCTCTCTCACGCACACAAACCGAAAGACACACATAAATATTGTAAAACGCTAACTGGACATTGTGGTCCAACTCAACCTTCCCCATTCACCAATCCTATAATTTGTCACATTATGTTTCACCATGCTTCTACCATGCATATCATAGATTTGACTTTTCACAAATAATTTAATTCGTGTTTCGAATTTCCACACTCACCCACACAATCAAACCTTCCCCCCCCCCTCCTCCCCCAAAAAAACAAAACCAAAAAACAAAAACACATACAGAGCCAATTCTTCTAGCCATATATATGTTCATGCCCACACATTTCAAAGGGAGAGATTGAGACCAAAGGCATAAATTTAGACTGCTAAGCAAAGATGGGTGTATAGATCAATGCAGAGATAGATTGATTTCCTATGTATCTGAGTCTGCAACTATGGATGGGTTGGGGTGTTGTATAGTTTATTGGCGATGGTTTAGATGGTAAAATTTCAAATCATTATTGTGGGGTTCATTATGAAGACAAACACAACTATTTTATAAATTGGATATTTTTTTGGGTTTGGGTAAACATGGTTTAGGTAATCCGCTAAGGAGAGCAGATGCAGGGAGAGATTGATTTGTGGTGGATAAGTCTGCAGCTGTTGATGGATTGAGGTGTTTTACAATTTATTGGTAATGTTTTGGACGGTGCAATTTTAAATCTTTTGTTGTGGGGTTCGCCGGGTAAGACAAACACAACTATTTATAAATTGGCTACTTTTTTTTTATATTTGGTTTGGAATAAATATGATTTGGAAGTCAGCTTTGGGATTTTGATGATTGGTAGTGTTCTCCACTGTTGCACTGAATGAACAATTTTGAGTTTTAACANCGGGTAAGACAAACACAACTATTTATAAATTGGCTACTTTTTTTTTATATTTGGTTTGGAATAAATATGATTTGGAAGTCGGCTTTGGGATTTTGATGATTGGTAGTGTTCTCCACTGTTGCACTGAATGAACAATTTTGAGTTTTAATAATGTTGACAGTGGAGGTGGTGGTTTAGCTAGAAGAGGAGGGAAAGCTATTTGTTTTCTTTTGTCTTTTATGATACAAAAATTGGTTATTATGTTTTTTACTATTTTTCCTTGAAGGGTAATATGGACATTTATATAAATAAATTTTGATGATGTGAGTAGATCCTCTAATTTTTCTTAAAGGTTGATTATTGGAGGGATACCTTATAAAATATAAAGCCAAAGCGAAAAAAGTATAGCAGAATTTCACAAATCACAAAACCAACCCTTAAGTTTTGATAAATCGTCGAGGGATGTCATTGTCATTTTCCCTAGTTTCAGTAGTCAACACAATTACGCCATCTCATCAGGCAATAACATAAAATATANAAAAGTATAGCAGAATTTCACAAATCACAAAACCAACCCTTAAGTTTTGATAAATCGTCGAGGGATGTTATTGTCATTTTCCCTAGTTTCAGTAGTCAACACAATTACGCCATCTCATCAGGCAATAACATAAAATAAANGGTTTGGGTAAACATGGTTTAGGTAATCCGCTAAGGAGAGCAGATGCAGGGAGAGATTGATTTGTGGTGGATATNGGTTTGGGTAAACATGGTTTAGGTAATCCGCTAAGGAGAGCAGATGCAGGGAGAGACTGATTTGTGGTGGATTTGANTTATGAAGACAAACACAACTATTTTATAAATTGGATATTTTTTTGGGTTTGGGTAAACATGGTTTAGGTAATCCGCTAAGGAGAGCAGATGCAGGGAGAGATTGATTTGTGGTGGATAAGTCTGCAGCTGTTGATGGATTGAGGTGTTTTACAATTTATTGGTAATGTTTTGGACGGTGCAATTTTAAATCTTTTGTTGTGGGGTTCGCCGGGTAAGACAAACACAACTATTTATAAATTGGCTACTTTTTTTTTATATTTGGTTTGGAATAAATATGATTTGGAAGTCAGCTTTGGGATTTTGATGATTGGTAGTGTTCTCCACTGTTGCACTGAATGAACAATTTTGAGTTTTAATAATGTTGACAGTGGAGGTGGTGGTTTAGCTAGAAGAGGAGGGAAAGCTATTTGTTTTCTTTTGTCTTTTATGATACAAAAATTGGTTATTATGTTTTTTACTATTTTTCCTTGAAGGGTAATATGGACATTTATATAAATAAATTTTGATGATGTGAGTAGATCCTCTAATTTTTCTTAAAGGTTGATTATTGGAGGGATACCTTATAAAATATAAAGCCAAAGCGAAAAAAGTATAGCAGAATTTCACAAATCACAAAACCAACCCTTAAGTTTTGATAAATCGTCGAGGGATGTCATTGTCATTTTCCCTAGTTTCAGTAGTCAACACAATTACGCCATCTCATCAGGCAATAACATAAAATATAAAACCTTACCCTTAATGTGTGTAGTTAATTTATATAGAAAAGAACAAAAAAGCTACAAACTTAGATCCTAATATAGGCCTATACTAATTAAAAATTCATCAGTTCCTCCCATCATTATTCTCATTTTAAACATAACACCACGGTACATATCTTTAATGATATTTATATACATATTTATAACTTTTCCTTATCTAAGATTCATTAAATTCCATCTCTATGGATTTTCTCACAAGCCTATTGTAAATTATAAAAGCTATATGAACATTTTTACTTTAGANGGATTTTCTCACAAGCCTATTGTAAATTATAAAAGCTATATGAACATTTTTACTTTTTATTTAGACACACAATGCTATTAGTCTTTTAAGTATTACTTCAGTTGAAATAGTAAATAGAATATTAGGGTTAGAGAAACGAGAGCGACAATAGAAAGAGAGGAGAAGCAAGAGAGAGTGATCAGTAATGTCAGCAGTGTTGCCCTACATTACCTTATTTATATTAGACACTATCTTGGGTAATTACAATACTACCCTTCATAAAAATAAAAACTCTAACACTCTCTCTCAAGCAGGAACATAAAGAGAAAAAAATACCCAACTTGGAACAAAGATTATTGAAGGTACTACAAGACAATAGTTTAGTAAACATATTACCCAACTAANGGTAATTACAATACTACCCTTCATAAAAATAAAAACTCTAACACTCTCTCTCAAGCTGGAACATAAAGAGAAAAAAATACCCAACTTGGAACAAAGATTATCGAAGGTACTACAAGACAATAGTTTAGTAAACATATTACCCAACTGATCACTAGATTTGATAATATGGAGTGATTATCTCTTTTCGCATTAGGACATCCTAAATAGAATGACAATCTCCTTCTATGTGTTTTGTGCACTCATAAAATACTGGATTACTGACAATGAAAATAGCGCTCTGATTATCACAATACAACTGCATAGGAAAAGACATTAATCCCCATATCACGAAGTAAAGAACGCACCCACAACATTTCACACGCTATGTGAGCCACAGCCCAATACTCTTTCTCCGCACTTGAACATGCAACTATATTATGTTTCTTACTACGCTAAGTAACAAGGTTATCACTAACAAATGTGTAATAACCAGAAGTAGATCTTCCATCAGTACGACTACTTGCCCGGTTTGCATTAGCAAATCCGGTAATAGTCACACATGGTGAAGAACAATATAATAATCTTTTCCCGGATGCTCTATTAAGCTACCAAAGAATACGACAAACAGCCTCCCAATGAGGCTTGCGAGGAACATGCATAAATTAACTAATCACACCAATTGCAAATGTAATATCAAAACGTGAAACTATGAGATAGATTAGTTTACCAACCAATCTTCGATAGCGCCCCGTGTCATTAAAAATTTTCCCTCTCTCAACATCTAACTTGACTATAGAATCCAAAGGGGCATCAACAAGACAAGTACCAAGAATACCAGTTTCAGATAGTAAATCTAATACGTACTTTCGTTGGCATAAATTGATACCTTCCATTGACCGAACAACCTCAATCCCAAAAAAGACTCAGATCTTTACTGTGAAACTACTACCCCAAATGGAACTTGAAACTTACAATACCATAATAATCATCACCACTAATGATAATGTTATCAATCACATACAAGAGAATGATAACCCCATGGATAGAATAACAAATAAACACTAAATGACTTGAAATAGAGCACTAAAAACCATATTGAATAACCAAAGTACCGGACTTATTAAACCAAGCATGTGGTAACTGGTTCAGATCATACAAACCATCCAGTGCTTTATTCAGGCGATATACTAACTGTTCCATACCAAAAATAACATACCTTAGGGGCTGAATTATGTATACCTCATCTTGTAAGTCTCCATGTAAAAAGATATTTTTTATATTCAGTCATACTTGTTAATATCGTACGATACACGATATGAATCATATGATACATTATGATACAGAGGTAAAACGATACAAATCGTAATTTTGTATCGTTTTTGTGTTGTATAGTCCGATACACGATATGTTTTTATGAAACAATATGTATTGGTACGATATGTACGATACACGCACAGGTTGTTTAATTTTTATTTTTTTTCTGGAACGCCGTCATTTTGTGTTGAGGAGGTTGATTTTTTTTATCCCTCTAGCTATTGAAACGACGACGTTTCAGTGGCTAGGGTTTATAAAAATAAAATAAAATCTCTTTTCTCTCCATTCTTCACTGTCTTCTTCGTTGTCTTCTGGCTATTCTTCACGACAATGAAACACAGCAGCCCCAAGTCTTTCTCTTTTTTCTGTTTTTCATAGTGATGAACCATAGCCCCTCTCTCTCTTCTCTCTGTTCTTGACGACGACGAAGCCCAGTGTCTCTAAGCCCTTTGTGCTTCAAGACGACGAGCCCAATCTCCGTCTTCTCTCCGTTCTTCATCGATGAATCTCGCTGTCTCTCTTCTCTTTGTTCTTCATCAACGAACCCATTGAAGCAGCCAAGCCAGTCACTGCCTTTGGATCTGGATCTGGATCTACAACTGCAGCTACCTTCTTCTTCCTTCTCAAGCGACTCCAACAAAACCTGTGCAGTGTAAGAAATGTAGTTAATTTATTTACAAAGCCAATTTTTTTTTTTTTATATCAAAATTTCTAAATCTTGATTAATGTTAGTTTTTTGAATTAGTGGCATCAACAGAATCCTATTTCTATATGAAAATGACTAAAAAACTTACTAATGATCCCACAGGGGAATATTGTGATAAAGTAGAAGGATCAAGGTTGAAATTCATTAAGCAAATATCTATAAGGGAGGCATTTCAAGAATGAAAAATCATTTGCCAGGTAAACATAAAGATGTAGTGTCATGTAAGCATTGTTGGATGATAAAGGCTTCTAGCAAAGATATGAGTCTTATGGATACGAAAACCTTCAAAAGTAGTAGTGGCATAAAATACAATCAACCACCACCATTACTTTGAATACCATGTTGAAGAAAAAGGGTAGGGAAGATGTATGCTTAGATATTTGTAGATGTTTTTATGCTAATGCCCTTCTTTTTAATTTGGTAAAGGATCCATATTTTTTAAAAATGTTAGAATCTATTGCATCATTTGACAAAGGATTGAAACCTCTATCGTATCATGAGGTAAGATGCTCTTTTTTGAAGACAGAAACAGATTTGATTAATGGTGGGTTGATAGAAAATTATAAAGCAGAGTGGAAAAAGACGGGTTTTACTCTTATGTCTGATGGATGGACTGATGGCAAACATTGCTTTATCACTAATTTTTTAGTAAATAATCCTAGAGGAAGTGTGTTTCTTAAAAGTATTGATACTTCAGGCATTTGTAAGAATGTGGATAATCTTTTTTCAGCTTTTAAATTCAATGGTAGAAAAGATTGGTGAGGACATTGTTGTTCAGGTTGTGACTAATAGTGCATCGGCATATGTAAAAGCTGGGGAGTGGTACAAAGAGGAAAAAGTTGTTTTTATCTCCTTGCGCTGCACATTGCCTAAATCTTATTTTGACGGACATTGGAGACCTTCCTCTACACAAGGATATAATTGTAAAGGCAAAGAAAATCGCAATTTACATTTATAGACATTCTTGGGTGTTAAACCTTATGAGGAAGTATACAAAGAAAAGAGATTTGGTGAGAGGTTGTGTGACCAGATTTGCCACCAAATATTTAACTTTAAGAAGTTTATTTGAGAGTAACATTAGGCTAAGAGCAATATTTGCTTCTGAAGAATGGCAAAGAAGTCGATACTCTAAGAAGGAAGATGATATAAAAGTAATGGACATTATACTAGCTGACCAAAATTTTTGAGGATCAATCAAGTATTGCTTGAAGTGTGTGTTGTCATTGGTGAAGGTGTTGAGGCTTGTAGATGGGGATAAAGCCTGTCATGGGTATATTTACGAGGCAATGGCCAAAGCAAAGGAACAAATCTAAAAGAATTTTCGCAATGTGAAGAAGCACTATGAGCCCACATGGACTATTGTTGACACTAGATGGAACTTGCAATTACACAGACCTCT